AGACGTTCGTAAAAGGAGGTCTTATTGACAAAACAATTGCTCGGCAGGGCTTAAACACAGCCTTTAAAGGCGTATTATTAAATTGCAGGCAGGAAGGAGAGGGCCAGCCAACAAGGGAAACCTGATGACCTCGCCATTGATTTTTACATCACCGGAGCGTTAGGAGAACTTAGCACAGAGATACTGACTGCGCCCAGAGAGAGAGACATTTTATATGTTACACTCTGAGCTTTTAGCTGCTGTCTGTATTCAGAGGGCTATAATTATGTAGGATTGTTCAGAAACTGCTAATACTGTGCGGCTGCAGACAGATCCACGTTCAAACACACCTGAGTCTATTAGCAAATCTAATTACTAAGTTCTTGTTTAATATTTCATCTATTTCAAACATTGTAAATGAGTTTATTTTAACTGGAGTCATTGACAGAAGTGTTTATCTTCAGGGTTTTCCAAAGCAGTTGTTTGTATTAACTTTCCTGGGTGCATCTTGGTAATAATTTGTTGTGTTGTTAACATATTAAACTGGAGTTATATTGTCTTATTTAAGTGTCCTTTATTGCCAAAAGTCAAAAGGTGGCTGATCATATTTTTTCTGTGTCTTTGTGGCTGTTCATGTTTGCCATACAACTTGTCAACTACTAGAGTTTTTATGAAACTTTGAGACTGTAATTGTTAGATGTACATCTAAAATTGATTACCTTTTGAAATCAGATCACTTCAAGATGTCTGCCACAGCTGATCAACCTTAGCAAATATAAAAATCACTACAGTCTAGTCATATTAACTAATATTCAGCTAAAATTGACCGTAGTTGTTGCTGAGAATCCTTCTCCAACACATATTCCAAATGATAACAGATATCGCAACATTTAGGTTTAAAGTATTGCCATTAACTATTAGTCAACTCTGTTAGCAAAATATCTAATTGCACCACTGGAAAAAAATAACTACTGCTTTTAAAAAGTAATAATTGAATGTACATTGATAAATGATTGACATGTGGAGAAAAATTGCACAAAAACACAAACATTGTGATAACTGTAAATTTTACAAATAAAGTTATATCTTATCTTATCTTGAGCTAAAATTTATCAAATGACAGTCATTCACAACACTAATTATGAGCTTTAAATCCTGAAACATTACATAGGATTGCTAACATTTTTTTTTAAGTTTGATTAAAACATAACTCAACATTCCTCAAAAACGATATTAGCTTATATTAAAAGTTGCGAGCCATATGTCTGAACGCCTGGCCTTTAAATTCACAAGGTATTAAAAAAAAAAACATATATCTATATATATTTATCATATTGAATTCAGATTGCATCAAACGCCTAAAATCTTCTCCAATATTTTAAACATGTTTTGAATTTACTAACGTAAAAGCAACAAATGTGAATTTCTATGCAAAACTAGAATAAGCAACTTAAAGACGTTCCTTTGGAGTACACGCTGCACATTGAATAGTTTAATTAAATAATTTACCTTGTTACAAATATTTTGTTATCAGATACTTTTTCTGTGGCTGCTTGTGAGAAACTTCACTTTTAAAAGGAACTTGAGTGACTAAAACTAATTCAATTTTTTTTTTCACTAAAATGTCAGTAGTTGTGTAGAAATAAAGTGTATTACATTAACTTTATTTATTCACGCATATTTTAGCTACATTTTGACTGAACAACTGAATCCAATTCAAGTTGTAAACAATTAAAACAAAAAGCACAATCTATAGAATCATGATTTATTTAAAACAATTTATTGTCAAAATTCTTTATACTTTGACTATTGTCTGCTCGTATTCAGCTCAGCCTGTTTCATGACATTTCTGTGTGTTTTCAACTTTTCACTCTCTGCTGCACCGTTCCATAAAACTGTCCGAGTAACTTTTCGACTTTGTGTTGAATGTACGACTCGTTCTCCATTCAAACTGAGATTCCCCGTGTTATGTATTCCTCCCAATAATTCATGAGTGATCTGCGCCCCTCGCCGGCCTTTAGCATTTTTATTTAATCTGCTGGGCCCCACCACGTGCTTGCTCATCAATAATGCACGCCAACATGTGTGTTAACACATCCATGGCGTGTGAGAGAAACAGCAGCAGAGTGTGTGAGTGTGGCAGATACTGTGTGACGATGAGGGGGTTGTTTGTGTTCACACTGTTTTATGATGGGACTGCATGCTCCTATTAATGACTTTTATATGAAAAATTTCTTACAACAAAAATATGTCGGATGCTTTTCATCTTTAAATCGACAAACACTGATGACTCGGTCTGCGATCGCCTGACACTGAAGGCAAAGGCAGAGCGATGCGTTTGTGTTTCATATCGGTGTGTGTCTGATTTTCTGCACTGTTAGCAAAATATAACTGTTGGATTCAACCCAATTCAAGATGGCTGCCACAGCTAACTTTAAGGGCTATAACTCAGTCAAATTTGCTGACATTAAGTTAAAATGTGGTGTTGGATCAGCTAAGCTTTGTCACAAACACACACTGTGCAACATTTTATCTGAAAACCTTGGCATTATATGTTAGAGCAATTTCCGTTTGTCTGTTAGCAAAATTTCTCATGAACCACGAGACAGCTTTTACAGTTGCAGACCTGGTTTGGTGAACCTGAACATACAGTAAATGTAAATGTTTGCATTCAGTTTGGCGTGTTTGTATGAATTTTGACACGTGTGTCTGTGAATGTGAATGAGAGCCGCTGACGAACAGAATCACATCTAGGGAAATTGACTTCACTAAATCTGTGGGTCAGGAGGTAACATCACCAGGGGTTGCTATGGAGACACCCAATGACGGGGCTTCCCATCCAGAGCAACAACACGCTTGTGAAATGGCAGTTCCCCTAACATAACCTCTCTCTGTCTCCCTCTCTTTCCTTTGATTGTCTCTCTGTTTTATATCACTCCTTTCTTTTCTTTTCGAAACATTTGTCTCCACTTCTCATTGCTTGACTTTTTTTTTTTCTGTTTTCATTTCTGCCACCACTTTTCTCTCCCTCTTTGTTGCTTTAATTCTCCATCACCTTTTCATGCTACAGCTTGCTGGCTCAAACAACTGAACCGTGTGTGGAAATGTGCCTGTGGACAAACGCACACACACATAC